CGTTTGCCTCGTTTTCTCGATCTCTCGACCGCGACTAGTAAGCTCTTGCTGTGTTTGTGTTTGTGGCTTGCTGTTGCCGAAAACGAGCTGTCTTTCTTACCCGCGGCGGGGTAACCTCTTCTTTTTTTTTTGTTCATCACTCACTGCGCTGGCAGCATAGCATTGCTATTGCTGTCGGGTAGGAGCTGGCTCCAATCCGTGGTCACGCAGGAAGGTTAAGGTTCCTCCCCCTGAGGCCCCCTACCCGTCCCTCTTGGGGGGGCTTGCCTTCGGTTTTTAAACCCGACAAAGAGTGCAGGCGGCACTCTCTTCCCTTACTGAAGAAAAAAAAAAAACTATCTCGGCTACCGTACTGGTGCGTCGAACGCGGACTACAGCAGTACAGCAGTAGGTATATCGATACGGTGTACTGTACACGAGTGTACACGACACTACAGCAGTACTACTGCCGTAAAAGGTTTCTGCTGTACATGGCACTGTAGATGGCCCGATATAGTGGCAACTTGAACAGTGGAACTGCCGATTTGGTGGCATCAAAATCTCTTGTCACAATCTCAACATGTACATGAACATGAACCCCATATGTATATCGAATTGTAGAACTGCCGTGAATAGCGGCATATCTCCTTTTGCTCATACATCACATGCCACTATATCGGGCCACCTGTACACAATAGATTGGACGAAAACACACACAAAGTAGACATCACATTTCGATTGCCAGGCCACTCAATTTGGGCTGTTGTTGTTGTTGGTGTTGTTGCACAAATTTTACGACAGTGGGCAAGTACACAACAGATTGTGATGTCGATCTTTTTGATTTCTTATGATCGCAACCGCTGCTCTTGTTTGTCAGCAACCACCGACCTTGGACTACAAATAATAAGGTCTTCCGTGGTAACAATCTGCAGAGTGCTGCCAACCTGCAAAATAAGGAAATACTACGAAGTACGTTTTTTCGGCAGGTCCGGGTGCGCCATGAATGAATGAAAGAGTGTTGAGGGCGTGCGGTGGGGTGTGTGTGCCTGCTGGATTTGCATCCATGTACCGCAGTGTTATCTACCTTTCAGCAACGTTTCCCTCTCTCATCTTTCCCGTCACGAGTGGTCTGTGTTCGTCTACAAGGACGGTACGTGTGGTTTTGTTTGCTGCTTGCTTGCTTGGTTGAGCGGATACGCTGTTTCGAAAACGTGTTCACCACGTTCCGCTGCCATGACACATAAGTCAGTGGAGCTCACGACGGCAACCGCGATACGCCAGCGCTGCGACAGCTGCAACTCCATGCCGCAAGGCTCCGGGTATTCGCCAAACCGCTGTGCGATGACCCCGATCTGTGCGGTGACCCGCGCAGCGTTACGGGCAACCACCGCCAGTTGTCATTTTCCGAGCAGCGTCACAACAGTAGTGAAAGCCCCGTCGTACTCTTGCCGTTGAACCGTCGACTATTCACAGCTAGATAGGCCCCCCTCCCCCCCAACATGGCCTTTGGAGGAGCCTTCTGTTCGGGTGTCACATTCAGCATCACGTCAGCCCCTTCCATGTCGACAAAGATTGACGCTCTAGCCCTTAAGGTGCGAACGAGGGGGGGCGCACGCGCGTTTTCCATGCCTTAGCTGTTAGACCATTAACCACGCGTCCTCGAGAGGACGGAGCCGCGAGGGGGGGGGGATTCCGCAGTTTGCACGCGGAGGACCCCCCCCCGTTGCACACCAGCAGAAATTAGCCTGCTCACCCTTCCTGACGCTCCCCCTGACGCTTCCCCCCCCCTTTCCGCGCGATTAACAACGCGATCGTCCAGGTCGCCAACACCGATTGCGAGTTTTGCGGGTCGCCGAGCGGGGGCTACGACGCGTCCCTTTCGAGCACGTACGAGGCCGATGGGTCGCCTTTCTCCATCCAGGGCACATACGACTACACGGTATTGACAGGTACCGCAATTTGTTCTCTACAAATAAATACAACAGGCCAGTAGATAGCAGTCTTCTTCTTTCTGGTGGCGTGTGTCATTTCATCGCGAAAACTGTTGAATGACAATCAGCCGGGAGAGAGAGAGAAGAAAAGAAGGAGCTCCGAGGTCGATCGTAACCGCATTATTTTTGCGTGTTTGGTGGTCACTTCAATTATGTTGTGTTCCTCGTCGCGCAGGAGGTCGCGGGGCGTGGTGCGGCATGGAGCGCCCCGCACACACCCGTACAATCTTGAGACTTGAATCATGGCCCTGTTCCGCAGGCACTATGCATACGTAGTCTTGACGTAGCCGACAGCAACCTTCTTATTCGGCATGGATTCCGAAAACGTCCATCCAAGCAGAAATGCGTCGTGAAAGCGCTTTTTAAGTGTCAATAGGTTATGCACGGACGTTTTCGGCGTGACCCCCCCCCGACACTGTAGCCAGATTAGGCACGATTGATGATGCGGTTATCGCACATGGCGTTGCAAAAGAAGGCGCGATGATTTTGAGTACAGGGGGCGGTGGTGACACCTCTGCCTCCGGCGAGCATGCGTTGTCAATCGCTCAGTCTTCACCACTCAAAATTCAATGGACGTCTGGAAGCACCCCCTATCCCCACTCGAAAACGACAGATAGATATGGTGTGTGAAGAAAACGATCCATGCGCCTTGTGTGTGCAGAGCGAGATACGAACGCCGGTAGACGCCAATGCGAAGCTCAGTGGAGAAGCGTGCGGGTTGATAATCTGACGCTTGTCTCCCTTGCGACACACGAGTGGTCACGGCTATTCGGAGGCGATCAAACGTATCGAATGACGCCCCTCCCCCCTCTCATTGATGGTGGCCACGAAACCACCGGAAAAACGAGTGCGCAGTAAAGCATGCACAAGAGGTTAGCGTAGACCATGGCGGAGGGGACAATCAGAGCGCTCGGATATCTGCAGAGAACGGGGGAAA